ACGAAAGAACAAAGCGTGAAGAGATTAGTAGTCAGTAAATGAATACAAAATGAAAAACAAATATGCGTTTACTTTACTTGTAAATATCTTCAACGTAAAATATACACGCACTATAGTCTGTTCAAGAGACCACTCACAGATTTTAAAATATGTAACTCATTAACCAGAACCACAGCTGGCAGAAGAACAGATGGGATTTAGGAGAAATAGAAGCTGCACAGATGCAATCTTCACACTTAAACAGTTAATAGAAAAGAACATTGAATACAATAAGAACTTATTTGTGGCATTCGTAGACCAGGAGAAGGCATTTGACAGAGTCGACAGACAATTATTATGGAAAATAATGGCAAGATATGGAGTAAGCAAACACCTCATTGAAGTGTGCAAAAGTTTATGCAGGGATTGTAGAAGTGTAGTTAGAATAAATCAGGGAACATCTCATCCTTTCACAGTGACATCTGGAGTAAGACAGGGGTGTGTCTTATCACCACTGCTGTTTATCACCTACATTGACAGTATATGCAAGAATGCCAAGCCCATGAATGAAGATCTTAGTAAGCTCAACGAATTACTCTTTGCGGATGACCAGGCCTTGATAGCAGATAAGCCATGAAATTGCAACAACATCTAACATCCATGAATGAAGAATGTAAAACAAATAATATGAGAATCAACACTGAAAAGACAGAAGTAATGTCAATAGGAAAAAAGAAGACAGATCTAAACATAGCAATAGAATACAAAGGCATTAAACAGGCATCTGAGTTTAAATATCTGGGAACTACATTTACCGAAGATGAGAAATTGGATAAAGAAATTGACATTAGATGCAGTAAAGCAAACCAAGTATTGGGACAGCTAGCCCCCCTCTTACAGCATAAGACAATCCCAATCAGCACAAAGAGACATCTTATTCAATGCATATTTATTCCAACTCTGTGCTACCAGTGCCAGACATGGTCACTCACAACAAACCATAAAAGAAAATTAGTAACCACGGAAATGAGTTGTCTGAGAAGGGCTGTAGAAGTGACCATAAGAGATAAGATCAGGAATGAGATCATAAGAGAACAAGTCGGTACAGAACCAATTCTGGATTACATACAAAGACAGCAAGTGAAATGGTTTGCCCACTTAGAGAGAATGCCTTGTGACACCATACCATACAAAGCATACATGGAAAGAGAAGAAGGACGTAGAGCACGGGGTAGACCAAGAACAAGATGGAAGGATAACATCAGAGAAACTCTACAACAGCACGATGTGCCTATGGTCGAGGCAGCCAGAAGAGCTAGAAACAGAACCTTATATCTCCCTCGACACCCACAGCGGTAAAAGAGGAAGTGAAGAAGAAGAAGAAGAAGAAGAAGAAGAAGAAGAAGAAGAAGACTCATTAACCTTTCTGTGTACGTTTTTAAAATTTGGCGTGTAACCTGTTAATAATCATATCCATGTAGGAGATTATTATAATTTTTTTAATGCAAACAAATTTCTAGTTTTCACTTTGCCTTATTTACGGTATATGAAAAAAGGAGACACCGATTCAACATACATCAAGCTTACAGTTAACTTAGTAGCCGGAACTTTTCAAAACATCAAATTGCACACATTTTATGGGCGTTTCCTTCTTAGGTGTTATCTTTAGCATTAGCCTACCGTAAGTTACATGAACATAATTCTGAATAGTTTGCGGGATACGCTGTCAAAATAATTACCATGCATCGCTGTACATATGAAATGACCTCTAAACAATCTTCACTGTTAATGTGAACTGACTCCCGAACAATCTAGACTGTACATGTGAACTGACTTCTAATCAATCTTCACTGTACATGTGAACTAACTGCCTTTACTTTCCATGATATTACCTCTTACTCTTTTCATTATTCGACCTGTCAACACAGATATTTTACCGTTAATAAAGAATATTTCACCGCCTTTGCCGGTCCCAAGCCTGTATGTGAAACAGGAGGATTAGGCCCCCACCCCCCCCCCCCCAACCCCCACCCCCTTTTTTTATAAATAACTGCTACAGATTCTCGCGGGAGTCGCCATGTTGTAGCGATTAGAGTTTCGCCTGCGGATCATGGACTGGGTTCCTGGGTGGGTTCCAGGTGCAGTCTTAGGAAGTCAAATCGCCGGCGTGATGTAGACTATACCAGCCACCAAGTGCTGATTGGTCTATAAAATACAGATAAAATGGGATAACCGACATGTCTATAAAATATAGATAAAATGGTATCCCACTCGAAGATATAGAGTCATACACCTATTTGGGCAGTAGTACCCAAAAGCGAGAGGAGCTTTCATCGTTCTAGGAAATTTGTGGAGGTTAAAAGAAATTAAAACCCTAAACTTCAGATTTTTAATTCTAATGGTTAATCGGTATTCTGTTTGGGGGCGAAACATGGACAGCTACAAAAATAATTACTAATAATTTAAATAATGCGGATACAAAAAATTTATTGCCAGGCATATTTCGCTGTAACTCATCAGAGTTACATCAACATAAAATAAAGCACAAAACTATTTTTTAAAAACTATTAAAACAAAAAAATGACTAATAAGCTAGAAAGATTCATTAACTAGTGTCTGTGCAAAATAGACGGTATTAAATGCTATGATAGAATCTCTAACGTTATGCTTTTGGAGAGAACTCTTGGTCCAGTGGACCTAGAGGTGACGAAAAGACACTAGCGCTGGAAAGACACACGTTGAGAAAGCATGAGAACAATAAAACTAGAAAGTCTTTGCACTTGAACCCACACAACCAAAAACTCATGGAGATTGAAGTCAAAAAAGAGGAAGAACACGGGAACAAAGCAGTGTGCAATAGCAAAGGATAGGGTGACTTTGCATGAGATTGTCGAGGACCTGTGCCCCATTGGGGGATAAAAGGCAAAAAAAGACCGGTGAAAATCTCCAGAATTTTCACTCGGAAAGCTACGAGTGGTAGGGGAATTTAAATATTAAAATGTGAGCATTTTTAGGTTGAGCGGGGGAGTGGGAGTAATAGACGGAGCAGGTAAAACGCTTCAACCAAAATACAAATTTAAAAACCTGTGACTGCCTGTATTTAGCTCTTTTAGATTGGGTAAGTCGGCTCTGTGGCTAAGTCGATGCGAACGCTTCGTAATGCCGAAATGCCGGGTTCGATCCCAGCTGCGGGCCATGTTGGTTTCGATAGTGGTAACAAGAAAGCCGACCGTCCAGGAAGCAATGGCAAACATATTCACGTAAATTTGCCTAGAAAAACCACACAACAGCCAAGGGCTATTGGGATTGGTTCTGCAATGTCCTGTAAAGGATACTCAACTAACCTAGATTGGGTAAATATTTTTTTTTTAAATTAGAGAAAACTGGCTGTCATCCAAAAAGAACAATAACTGGTGAAGAAACTGAATTTGTCACAAACTTTGAATATCTAGACTATAATAAATAGCAACGGAGACTGTCTGACAGAAATCAAAAAGTGGGTGGCCATAGTAATGCAAAGAAGAAACATTATTATTCGTCTACGGTTAACGACCAGCAAGAAAATTAAAATTATAATTTTGAGAGCATGCATCTTCCCTGTAGCAACATTCGGATGTGAATCATGGACTATCTCCCAGTTCTTAAGAAAGGAAATAGGGGCTTTTGAGCTGAAATGCTATAGAAAGATTCTCAGAATACCTTAGACAAAGAAGAGGAGAAATACTAACATTTTAAAAGATCTGAACATCAGGAAAGATCGGCTAATAAACAGCATCTTGTCTCAGAAGCTGAAATATTTTGGTCACATCAAGCACCATGTAATAGCAGACGGCATGGTACCAGGAAGGAGAGGCAGGCCCCGACCGACACGAAGATGGGCACATGATGTAAGTGACTCCTTGAGTATGAAAGTTCACGAGGCGGGAGAGCTG